AAAAATTGCTCAAAAGCTTGCAAATTTGCACGAGTGTACGAGAGCTGAAACAAACCCATCTTCAGTTTCTGGTCCATGGATTACATGATAACGATTTCGTGCTACCAAAGATCATCAGTCGGTCGTCTGAACTTGGGTCCCTTGAATACTCCATTAAAGTATTTAACAAGGCGCAAAATCCCAATGTTGTTTCCTACAATACGATGATAAGGTGCTTCATAGGGAAGTCTCACGGAGGCACATTGAGCGTTTACAATCAAATGAAGGCGTTAATGACCTGGCCGAATAGCTATACCTTCGGTTTCCTTTTGAGAGGTTTTGAGTCATTTGAAGCGTTGAAAGATGGAATGGGGGTACATGGGGATATTATGAAGCTGGGGTTTTGTTCTAATGTCTTTGTCCAGAACACCCTGTTGGATTTTTATGCCAAATGTGGCGGGAATTTGGGGTATGCTTGTAGGGTGTTCGAGGAAATGCCTGAAAGAGATGTGGTCTCATGGAATTCTATGATCGGTGCGTATATGACTTATGGAGAGATCCTATCTGCAATTCGGTTGTTTGAGTCCATGCCAGAGAAGAATATTATCTCCTGGAATTCTGTCCTTTCGGGTGTTTGCAAGGCTGGGAATATGGATTTGGCTCGTTCTGTCTTTGAGAGAATGCCAGAAAGAAATGAGGTGTCATGGAACTCCATCCTTTCAGGATATATTAGTGTGGGTGTTTTGGAGGATGCAAGGTTGATTTTTGATCAGATGCCAGAGAAAACTGTGGTTTCTTGGACAGCCCTCCTATCAGGATACACCACGGTTGGTGATACTGAATCTGCAAGGAACATGTTTGACCAGATGCCAGTGAAAAATGTTGTCTCGTGGAATGCAATGATTGCATGTTATGTTCATAACCATAAGTTTGATGAAGCTCTTAGTCTATTTCATGGGATGTTGATTGATGGTAAGTGCAAGCCTGATCAAACTACTTTGATCAGTGTACTATCTGCTTGCTCTCACTTGGGGTCTCTTGAACATGGGAAGTGGATTGATTCCTACGTTAACAAAAACAAGCTTGACTTGTCTATTCCATTAGGCAATGCCTTAATAGACATGTATGCTAAATGTGGAGATGTGAAAAATGCCTATGCAGTTTTCAGTAAGATGGCTACTAAATGTATAATTACATGGACAGCAATGGTTTCAGGACTAGCTGTTAACGGGCAGTGCAAGGAAGCTTTAGATCTCTTTGATAAAATGTGTCTAGAAGGAATAAAACCAGATTATGTTATTTTTGTTGCCGTCCTGACAGCTTGCTCTCATGCTGGATTGGTTGAAGAAGGTAAAAGGGTGTTTAACCTGATGGTGGGAAAATTTGACATTGAACCTCGAATTGAGCATTATGGTTGCATAGTCGATCTTCTTGGTAGAGCAGGGAGGCTAGAGGAAGCAATTAGTTTTATAGAAAACATGCATTTGAAGCCAAATGCTGTTATTTGGGCCTCCTTGCTAAGTTCTTGTAGGATTCGTGGAGAGAAAGACTTGTTAGAATTTGTAACTAGAAAAATTCTGGATCAGGAGCCTTCAAATCCTGGATATTTAATGCTGATCTCAAATTTGAGTGCATCAATTGGACAGAGGGAAAATTCTTCAAGCTTTTGTGTGGCAATGAGACAGCATGGCCTAGAAAAAGTGCCTGGTTGCAGCTCAATTCAACTAGGGAATACAGTCCATGAGTTTCTAGCCAAAGACACAAGGCATGGGCAGAGAAAGGAGATATATAGTATTTTGTACAGTTTAAATGGACACCTAAAAGCAGCAGCTGATGTCATGTGACAATTTCACAACTTTTTCTGTGGTTTGAAGATCCAAGAATAGTCAACCAAAGAATTGATTTGGAAAAAATAGGTACCATGGAAGAGGAAAAATACCAGTTCATTAAATTTTTAGAGAAAAAATATTTAAATAGCACTAGAAAAAAGTATTTACCGCTTTATAGTGGAATTGAAATTAACTCCCTCATGAAATAAGAAAATAATTTGAAGATGGATGGCATCATCATTACAGTCTTGAATTCTTTCAAGATCACTCAGACCAGCGTCCTTAGACCATCTAAGCATATTGCCTTTCAAGTTAAATCAAGGAGAAGATAGGATATCAAAGGTTGGTAGCTGTTATCATATGTAGACTTTATCTATTTTAGCAAAATTATAGGTTGCATTTTTCTCTCAGGTGTAAGCCAAATGCAGAAATGCTTGAGTTCTTGTGACCCTGGTTTTATTTTAATAAGTTCTCTATCATTGGAATGCTGATATACATACTTGTACAATTCTCATATATATGATGTTGTTCAGAAAATGGCTAATCTAGAAGACCATTATAACTTCAGATCTAAGGCTAGAAAAAATGGTGTCCTGCTGCACCATGGTCAAGAAAAAGGAGTAATGTGTGAAGGTGAGACTACAGCCATCTTACAATGGAAGGAACTGTCAACAGTTATATAAGCAGGTCATATTCTACATCTTCTACAAATTTCCTTGGAGCACACAGTGGCCATACAGAGGTAAAATTTTTAACTTTTATCAGATTGGTCAGTTTGGTTCGGTTGGAAAGTGGTGATGGTAAAATTTTTAAACTCTCTGTTTGGCTGTCTATCTGTTTGTGTATGCGTGCATGGAATTGCTCCATTACTAGAAGTTCTAGTTATCTATTCAATTATACTCAGGACTACAAGGAAAAGGTGTCTGTAAAATTAAAAAATCAAGGAGGAGAAAAATCCTCCTGGCTTGGGCCTTGTTCAGTTACCGTCAATCATCATATAAGCATCATCTAGTCTGTGATACATAATCTGCATATCAAACACCATTAAGATGTACAAGTGGAAACTTCTCTTTTCTGGATTCCTCTTTCTTCATTTTCAATTTAGCCACTTTAGAATATCTTTTGTCAATGGTTGAGATATTGTTGATCATCAAATTAGCATTTTCTGTTATGTATATGGGAAGTAACAGTTTTTTTTTTTTTTGATTGGCAAAGAAAGTGTCTAGCATTACATGGATTTGAACTCCTAATCTTTGCCCAATAATCAAGGTTTTTAAAGTTAAGTGGGTAGTGACTCAGCTGAGCTCTTACTATTAAAAAGAAACAGAGCTTAGCAAGTCTGGAAAAGTCTTGTGATATTAATGCTAAACATTTATGACCGTATTCACATGCTATGCACTGGTTCTGATGGTCTGATGGTGCTTATATTGGCATGTGGTTAAGCTTCAAGTAGTTAGACATTATACAAAAGAAAAGAATGTGATAGGGTTTAGATTGTAATAAAATTACATTGTGTCTTCTCATGCATGCTAACTAGACTGTAACTCTATAAGATGGGTATCTAGAGGGGAAGACACCAAGCAGGGCACCAAGGATTGTAGGACATTTCCTAGACAAGGTAAATATTAGACAATAAATGTGTGGTTTCACAGAAAAACTGATTAAAGTTGTAATAAATCATTTCTATTGATTGTTCATATTGAGGACAACCCAATCACAGAATAAGTGGAGTACTTGTGTTATTTTTACATATTTTTAAAAGCAGAATTATGATTTTTCTGTCTAGAATTGCTAATTGAGGGTTGGAAAGAGTAGGTGTAAGTAGGTTTTACAACTTTTTGTTGATTTTACCTGATTTTTTTTGTTACTCATACTTATGAAGGATATTATGATAGGGCATTAAAAGAAAAGACCAAAAATTGATTTCTTGTGTGTGATGTGATGCTCATTTAGTGACTTGTACCTGATGCTTATCATCTCTTCTCTATTTAAGTGATAGCATTAGTGCAATTTGGTTATGTCAAATTTGTTATTGATATGAATTGGAGAAAGATTCCATTGCTTACCTTGTGTAAAGCGATAGGTGCTATCAATTTGTATCACACACATTGCCTTTCATTTTTGTTATTTATAATGGTCATTTTCATTAGCAGATGTGAAATCTCTAGGCGGTATGACATCAAAGATCCCTCCAAACTCCTGAACAACAAAAACAATTCCTGTTTTGCTATGGATAGCGAGCCCTTTCTAGGGCTAGCTGCTTGTTTCAGGGAGAAAACACAAACCTGATATGCATCATTAGAAGGTATGCCAACCTCCATGGCTCGCTTTTCAGTGATCATACATGCAACAAGAGGAGACAAACAGGTAACAGTTGGCAGTATTGTTTTTCATTTTCCTTAACCTGTTTTATTTTTTATGGGAATAAACTTTTGGAATTGACATCTCTGGAGGATCTGAGAATTCAAATGCAAGTGTCTTTCTCTTCTTCACAATTCACATGGTTGTCAAAATATTGTTAGAAGTTGGGCCTAATCCAGTGTTTTCAAAACCACTGGAATGCGAGTTGTGTTGATGCTGAAATCAGTTGGAAATTTTTTCCAGATCCGCAAAGAATTGTTGATATGAAATGTTGGAACAGAGAGATAACCAAGAACTTTTCACGAAAATGGCCAACATTCAAATCAGTCAGGAAAATTTGCCAGATCATTGGAAGCAACAGAAAAATCATTGCAAGCAACATGGGGCTAGCTGAATGCTACAATTTTGATAAGATGATTTACCAGAAAGTTAGTGAAGTGGTGAAAAGAACTGGTTAGTATGACTAATTGGATTTTAACTCAAAAGGCTTCTGTTAGATGATGGTACCAACTTCTTGTTATATATGGTTCGAAATATTTCTCTTCCTTTCTGATGTTGATTGGAGCCTTTAATGAATGTTGTCTACTCGGAATGGTTTGGCAGAAAACTTGCATCATATTTGAATGCAATGTTTTCCTTCTTGGGCAACACTGGCGTCTATCACCAAAGAGGGACTGCATTCCAGAAGGAAAAACAAATAATTGCTGGACAGAGTAGTCTTAAATAATAAGATGCCCCTTTAGATGTATAGTATATTGTGGAGTGTGGACCAACGACTTTTGTGTACTTATATCCAAAACTCATGTGAGTCGATGCAGGAAGATTTGTTTTTTTGGGCCAAGGGCTCGAACCGAGACCCAGGTGCCTACATACCATACTACTTGTTTTACCTTGTGGCTGGGGAGTGGATGCGAGAAGATTGAATAGAACTTTTGAGGGATTACTAGTATATATTTTAAACCCTAATTTGGAGATTTTTCAAATAATGAAATAGGTAATATTTAACTAATTCTCTAGTCTCTTTCACATTTGTTGGTTAAAGAGGGAGGATGGTGCACCAAAAGTTGTACTCTCTCTATTATAAAATAATTATCATTTTTTTTACTTTTTTCTTTAAATCAAAGATTTAGAAATAATATTTGTATTTATTTATAATACTCTTAAAAAGAAATAAAAATAATATGAGATTTTTTTTATTGGATAATTAATTAAAGTAAATGGATAATGATAAGATTAAAGTAAAAAAAAAATATTTGTGTATCTTACACAAAAAAAAAGGACAATCAATTTGAGATAAATACAAAATCAAAAAGTGACAATTATTTTAGAATGAAGGGAATATGGTTTTATTGACAAATTTCTTTACCTTTTTCCTCTAACTCAATGTTTTGTCTAGAATCAGATAGTTTCGTACTTATAGTGTCTATTATGAAGTAAGATTTAGTTATTTACATTTGTGTTAGTCTACAAGCATGTAGCTTGTAGGGCATGAAAGCATATAGGATCCAAAATTACATAACTAAAGACAAATTAATGGATGAAAATCACCTCATTATTTCTTCATTGAACCTTTTCTTTTATAACAATTCATCATGGATTTGGCATCAACAACGTGGATTTCTTATACTCTTGTCCCTGAATGATAAAATAGAATACAATTAGGAGATTGATTTGACCAACAATCATGAACATACCATACCTCTCTCTACTAAGAAAGAAATTATAAATGCTTCAAACTTCCAGTTCCCTTATGTGACCAAACCAACTGGTGAGACACACTTCTACGTATGATGCTATTTTTGCCTTCACCTCCAAGCATCAACTCAATCAATAAAAAAGGTTCCCAATCAATCCTAGCTTTGGGACCATCCTCTAATATTAATGCATAGGACATTTTCTAATTACAACACATTTTTTATGCATAATCATCATCGTTTCAATTAGGGATCCATTATAGATCACACA